TTTAACACCCTACAAAACCATCAATAACCAGATGTAAAAAGTATCAAATGCTATTTGAAGAAGTATTATCATACCATCAGGTGGTGCGTACTCTGCATGGAATCCAATATGGGCAACCATCTCACAGAACTGTGCAGGTATGCATTGAAACATTTTTTGAGAAGTGGAGCAGCCTAGCTGGTTTTTCTTGAGGTCAAACAGCATCTTCAGTGTGGCGTTCTCCACTTTTTCCATCTAAAAATAAAATATTTCACGAGTCAAGCAGGAAGACACTTGCAGATAACTCTTTTAAACAAATTAGTACAAACACTTAATTTAGGGAGTAATGTGATATTTTAAATTTAGCATAATTAAATACATAAAACCATGTGAAGACATATTAAAACAGCTTTATAGTTGTCAACATCAACCATGTCGTATTTACACATCCTGTACCTTCACTACGTCCAGCCCCTTAGATGTGAAGTCAATTGTTCTGGCTGAGTACTCGGGGTTGGAGTAAGAAATCATCTTTCTTTCAAAGGACACATCCTGACGCGAGATCTGAAACATGGCAGACTCTTCCTCTGTGATAAACTTCCTCTGGATGTTGCAAAGCATGGCCTCCACCTGCAACCCAGCAACTACAACATCTTCATTTAAACCCCCGTGTACAATTATGCTTGCACGGCCAATCTCAAAGAGCTCCTCAATGGAAACAGCCTTTTTCATTAGCCGGGATAGCTGCCGATGTTCTTCTTCGCCGAAGTGCTGGATGAAGTTGTTGCAGATGACGACAGCGCCGGAGGATCCAAAGAGAAGGCCCTGGAGCCATCGTTCAGCCTCGCGTGTCGCTGCATCAGAGGAGCCCTTCAGGGTGATCTGTGGAGGGGGAGCTCTGCTGCCATGGAAGTCATCTCTGCGCTCAGATTCTGGTGGAGAGAGCATCCGCCATCAGTGCTGCCAGTTAGAATAACTATTACTTTTAATCATTTTATTACATTTAGTTGTTTCTTGGAGATTCCACTAGTGTTCTGCGCTGCAGTGGTTCAGGTAGTATGAGGCGTTCAATCACCATCATCCCCATAGGTACTTACAATAAAAGGTCACCTTTGTGTACATGAAATAAGAATAAGAAATATTGTGTTACCATGTGTGGAGCTGGGATGAGATGCCTTTTGCTTGAGTTGTTTCATTTGTTCCTCAAAAGCCTAGCAAGAGAAGGCAATTCATTAATATATATATCTTTATTTCTTTTCTATGAGACAGTTCACAAAGCATGAATGGAATTTCCTTGAGTAATTCAGTTAGAAAACACTGGCAACTGAACTTGAGTCACCTTTAAGTTCACTCATCAGTACACATATTTTACAATCTTTTAATGACTCACATTTGTGTTTCTCTGTCCCTTTCTAAGTTGTTTAGCATATTGTTTTTCTATGTATGGCTGTCTAAGTTGTTATTCTATTATGATTACTGTCAAAAAACCTATACAGCAACCCACATGGCAATATTATGCTAAGATCAGCATTTTTGTCAAACCAACCTTAAACGTCTCATCGTCAGAAGGAAATATGACAAAATAAACGTCCATCTTGTATGGTAGCTTTTTGGCATATTCTTTCACTGCTGCTGACATGGTCCAGGCAGCGTCCTTTTTATTGAACCCGAGGCCTCCGGTGCCGATGGCAGGAAAGGCAATTGACTTATAGCCTTTTGCTTGTGCCTTCGCTAAGCATTCCAATACTGAATTGTAAAGAGTCTGTAATGAATAAAAAAGTGGACAGAAAAATACAATAAATATATTACAATACAACCTAAACAGTTTTATATGTACTGTTGCACATCCTGGCTCTATTAGTCGTTGGTTATTTAAATCATTTAAATCTTTATATGTGATATGAGACATGTTTCTTTTTTTTATTGACTTTAGCACCTGGAGTTTTTGGAGTTCTGACTGGCTGAAGGCCTCTTGATTGTTCCCTTATGGTGATGATAGATGTGTAACTACGGTGTGGTTTATATAAGATACCAGTGCCTGTGTCTGACTATGATTGTTGACCTTGAAGGCCATCTGGAGGGTATATTAATATAATATATATTATCCCTTCTCTTAAAGGGTCAATTGTGAATGATTTAGTAGCATCTAATAATGAGGTGGCAGAGTGCAACTGAGTACCCCTTGCCTCAGTCTTCCTCCTCCAAGAATGGAGGAGAAACTACGAAGGACCTATGAATATTATATTTTTCTGCCAGTAGAATTCCTAAATCTTACATACTCAACCATTAAATGCAACAATTAAACTCATACTGTACCTGCTGTGTTGCAATTTGATACTTGTCAGTGCAACTTGTGTGATACACCTCTTTACATTGTAGATTGTAGGGTTTTGTGATGATGACATTTCCGTTCTTAGAAGCTGCATACATTTCTTTTTGCATTCCAGAACCAGCTTTCTGCAGTAAAGCTTTGGAGATTAGACCTTGGTTCAGATCTCGGTTGTATACTGTGTTTACAATGACATCCGTCTGAGAGGATACAAAAACAAGGATGTTGTTCTTCATAAAACCGGAACACCAGAATGTATGTATGTAAATAAGTAAATGATCAATGAATTTATTAATGAAGAAACTTTTTTACTTACCCACTGGTCCTCAATGCAACCCGTCTTCAGTGTGACATGGACATTTTCGATCTGGGCAGTAAGTGCTGAGGTGTTGGCACTACCTTTGCTCCCGCCTCCTGCTGTTGCCTGACTGTATGTCACGGGAGCACGGGAGCCTAATATCTGAGCGCAGGCCTTCTCCATTTCATTGACTGAAGGATCATCATTGTTCACAAGCATGATCTCTTTAGGATGATGTCCTGAAGAGCGTTCATAGTACCTTTTCACGGTTCTCACTATGGTGTCGGCACATTGCGGCAGGGGGTAGTGGAACAGTCCGGAGCTTATTGCAGGAATGGCAACAGTATTCAGACGATTTTCTTTAACTCTGTCAAGAATGCTCCTGATGGCCTTCTCCAACAGCGGTTCAGCATTATAGACATCATTTTTACTGTGATGTGCGAACAGTTGGGGACCCACAGCATGAATTATCTTGCAGCATGGTAGTGACCCAGCATCAGTGACGATTGCATCTCCTGTTTTCAGGTTACCGTGCACTCTGGTGTGATCATCACTCTGTTGTTGGATTTGTGGACCACCGGCGAGGGACAGAGCTGAAGCGAGCCCGCCATAATGCTGAAGACGTTCATTAGCAGCATTCACAACAGCCTCCACCGGGAAATTGGTGAGATCAGCCTTCCACACAGACACCTTAACACCTGCATGCAGCGTAAATTCACACTTTTTCTTTGGGACGACAGTTGGCCTTCTCTGCTGCGCAATGCTCGGGTCTCCTTCAAAATCCACACCATCGATAATGGCCACACATCCAAATTTGCTTTGTATGACGTCACTCAGAGCAGATCCACACTGTCTCACAATGTTGACCGAAGAACCATGAAGAGGAACATCCAATTGACTGGCCATGGTTCCCTAAACAGAGCTACAGAAAAATATTACATTACAAAATTATACAGTGACACCGGTGTTTGTATATTTGCCAGTCAAGTGTTATCGCAGCTCAAACAGCATGCATACACATGATGTTTCACAGTGAATCAACATAAATCAACATAAATGAATGACTGATAATGCCTTAACATGCTCAATAAACACTTTGAGCTGAATGTGTAAGAAATATGAGTGTGCCTTATGGCAACAATGGAAGCAGCAGAGGTGCACATTTTGAAGTGGGATTATCAATCAAATTGGAGTCACAGACTTCATTTAATAAATCAAAACAAGGGGAATTAATTATTG